TTATAAAATTACTAAAAATAAATGGAAACAATTAAGAGTTCAAGAGTAAATAAAGTTAATGAAACAAAATTAGCAGCAATTAGCGAAGGCACCGCGTGCCTCACTCCCGCAGCCCAGCGCGTGGTTGGGAGCCTGGGGGCTCTGCGCCGCCCACACAGGCCTGGGGCGCGGGCGCGGGCCCAGGGAGGCCGCAGGCAGGCGCTACCCAGGCTGGAGGGCGGGCGGGCGGGCTGGACGGGCCGGGCCGTGCCCTGCGCACCCAGGTCGCCCTCACCCGGCCGAGCGGCAGGTGCTGGTTGGCGGTGGGCTGGCCTTCCCCGCGCTGCCCGGGAGGCGCCGAAAACTTTCCGATAACGCGGGGAGGTGGGGGTTCTGTGCAGATGAGATTATCGATAGTTATTGAAAGTCCCCAAATAGGATTTACAAAGCAGGCTTCTGCGCCTTTAATAGAATTCTAGATAATCTTTTATCACAACAAGACACCCATAGAATTATTTAAACAGATTGGACGGGCTGCCGCAGCAAATTTCAATTATTCTAATGCTTTAATAAATGTGGTGCGTGTGTATTAAATTCAAGCTTCTTAATCCAAATTTTACGATTTAACTGCTCTGATTTTTCATTACTGCAACACCCTCACGCGGACGCCCGCTCCCTTCCTGGGGGGAGCAGCTGCGGGGCCGGGAGAGCGGGAGCCGAGGCCGGCCAGGGACAGGCGCCCTGGGGAGGAAGGAGGACAGAGTGGCGGCCGAGGGGCCCCCTCGCCCTCTCCAGTCTCACAACTCGGCTCTGCAGGGCTGGGCAGTTCCCTGCAGGGAGCTCTCCGCCTGTGGGGGGCACTCCGATGCCAGCAGCCCCCCCCACCGCCAGGGCATTCCCACTCCCCCCACCCCAAGGCCTGGAGTCAACAGCTGGGCCCCGCCAGGGCCTCCCCTCAGGCACTCCTGCACTCCAGCCCCCTGCACTCCAGGGGCCCCCTGCACTCCAGTCCCTTCAGCTCTAAATGAGTGGAGGTGAGAACCAAGCGCCCCAAATGTGCCCCTGCGCCCACCCCAAAGGCTGCCCCCTCCGCCTGGACCTGGGAGCCCCGCGCTTCTCCCATGCGGCCGACTGAGCACAGCACCGGTGGGGAGTGCGGTCCAGCCATGCTGCCAGCACACTGGAGCCCAGCACCCTGGAGCCCGGGCCCAGCCGGGACCTCTCTGGGCGCTAGGAGGGGAGGCCCTGCTTTTGGGGTGGGAGGGGTGGGGTGCGGGAGGTGGGGAGGCAGGAGGGGTTGAACCAGGCGGGGACCAGTGGGGCCTCCGCGGCCTGCTCCGCGTTGTGGCTACAGGAAGAAGGGAAGGGCATCCGGGCCAGCGGTCTGGCTCCCGTCCTAACCCGCCCCCGCCTCCCGCCCGCCCGCTCCTCCTCCGAGTCCTCGCGGGCGGCCAGGGCTGACCCGGCTGAGCAGTGAGCTGGGCTTGGTCCAGAGGCGTCCATCTCTCATAATCTTTGTTTAATGTTGCATTTCTAAGCTCCGTATTAAGCAGCGGTATGGACGGCTGGATATTTAGTTGTATATAATTTACACCCTGATCCTGAATCGATCCGACACCTCCGGATGGAGTCTCTCTCATTTTTCACGCTCCTTCCGAGGTGCCGAAATAATACCCTCTCATTAGGAGACTGCGAGGCCTGGCTAATTTATCCAAACTGTCAGGGGCTTGTACAACCTCGGGTTAAAAATAAATCAGCAAAGAAACAACACCCCCTCTCCGCGCTCCCCCGGCCCCCGCCCCGCCCCCACCCGCCCCCACCGAACCGATTTATCAACAAAATTAAACCAGCCTGCGCCTCGCCGATCGCCTAGCGAACAGCGGCTGGTTCGGGGTGCAGGGCGCAGGCAGGGCCGGCCCTTTAATAGACAACAGGGGACGCGCTCGACAATCAAACCCGATCAGCTTGCCCGCAGGGGGCCTGGCCCCAGAGCAGCTGGACCCCCCTCGCCCCGCGCACCTCGCCCCACGCGCACACACGGCACACCCACCTCTTGGGCAGGACTCCTTCTAGAGCAGCTGCCGAGAACGGCCGAGCCCCTCAGCCTAGCACGGGGCGCCCTCCGCTGCCGCTGTCCCCGACCCCACCGGGGATGGCTGCCCTGGGACAGCGGCCTCCTCGCCATCGCCTGTCTGCTCCGCGGACCAGTCGCCTGCAAGGTTCCCCCGTGGTGGAACACAGAGGGCCCCCCTCCCCCGTCCCCCTCCCCACCGCCCTCTAGCAACCCCCCACTTGGGCCTCCCGGGCCACCCCAAATCTACAGCCAGCATCACAGGTGCAGGGGGGGGATTGGGGTAGAGGTGGGGGATCTTTCTCTTTCCTTCTGCAGAATAAAACAAAATCATTAGTTGACTTGGGGTAGTTGATTCAGAAGAGCTCGCCTTGCAAATGAGACTCTTGAAATTATGTCGATAATTAATTGTGCAAATTTGTTTCTATTAAATAAAAATAACACGTATTGAAGAACTCAATTAGCATTAATTAAGCTTGATATCCTAATTTGGAAGTTGTGTAATAGAAAACAAGCGTTTTGGAGGGTGTTTTCCCTCTCTCCCCTCCTCCTCCCCTCTCTGCCTCGCCGCTCCCGCTCCCCCTCTCCTCTCCTCCTCGGCTGGAGAGCAGAGCTGCCGCCGTAGCCTTTGGGCTGCTCCGCTCCTTGGAGAATTGGAAATGAGAAATGGAGATGGGGAATCAGGAGGTGCTAAATTAACTGCCTGATCTGCACTTATTGCTGCATACACATCCCCCCATTACGGCGCCTCGCTGCAGCTCGGCTCTTAATATTCCGGGCATGGCGAGCCGTCTAGATAGCAGATTTATCAAATGGGAAAATGAATGTATGATGATCAGTTAAATTGAAAATCAGCGCCTGCATGACAGCTCGACCTGACACCTCCGTAATTAGAAAGAAAAATGATGGCGTCGGATGCATAATAGAGCAAAAACAATTTACACTCTCCCATAATGATCCGGCGTTCAAATTGAAAATTTCTCCTGGTAGAAATTGAATTCATAAAGTATGATTCATGAAGGACACATCTCCTGGAGGCTGGCTCGACCAGATCGATTGATAGTTTGTCTAGAATCACACAGCCTGCTGCTTTTGGGGCTTTCAGGAAAAAGCTAAACTGTTTAAGTAAATCAGTAATTTCACCTTAAGGACACGAGTGTGCAGCCAGCGATACTCCAGCATTCAAACTGCAAATCCATTAAACATGAGGCCTCCCCCACTCGGCTCAGCCGCCACCAAAATGAACAGCTGCAAATTGAAGGAAGGAGGCGATTTATCGCTGCCAGACAAATTGTTCACCTTAGATAAAATAACCGGCATTTTACGCACAATTTTCTGCTACAATTTCATAATTTAAATGACACTTTAAATACAGTTTAATGGGGGTGGGAGTGGAGAAGAGGGGAGAGTTGACTGTGGGCCCAGGCCACACTGGACTGCCTGAGACAAAGGCTCCGAGGCCAAGTGGGCAGGACGCAGCCGGTCAGGGGAGGCGGCCGCTGCCGCCCCAGGAGCCGGGTCCGAGGGGGCAAGGGCCGTGGCTGAGCCCCAGCAACCTGCTCCCGGGCCCCGCTCCCTCCCCACCATCTCCCAGCTCCCGGTGGTGGCCGAGCTGGGCCTCCAGTGCCACGGGCTCCTGCGGGCGGATCCACCCCTCTCCCGCTCCTCCTTCCCCCTCTCACTTTTCTTTTGATCTAATTATTTTTCCTATAAGCTCGGTCTCCTAGAGAGCAAATATCAGAGTCACCGAGCGAAAATTATGTAAATATTATTAAAGGGACTGGGGCTCCGAAATTCATTTGCACCGCGCGCGGAGGAAAGCTGTCCTTCTGATTATTCTCAATTTATTTGCAAATAAAGGCCTGATGACCAGGAGGGATCAGGGATATTTAACGAGGCTGTAAACATCATTCCGCGCGCTCAGCCTCAGTGGAATTAATGGTTTTAATAATTGGGATCCCAATTTCTTGGGGAATTGGTGGCTTTTGAAGCGCCAAGGACCCAGGGCCCATGGTTGGGATTTTTTTGGGGGGGGCGGTAGACGGAGGATTGGTGGAGGTTCGCTTCGGGGTGGGGCAGCTGCGGGCAGGGGAGGGGGCCGGGGCTGGCTGCAGGCTCCAGCCAAGTTTGCTAATATTTCTCCGCTGCAGATGTCCTGCAGCCCGGGAGGGTCCCCCGGGGACCCGGACCCTATTAGAACAAATGTGCGCTGCTTTTGTAAAGAGGCGCGTTGGCGGCGCCTGTCCTATTACAGGCGACACATGATCAATAGGCTGATAACGCAGCAACATCAATATAAGCGACAGAACAATGAGGGATATCATTGGGCATCTATCTTAATATAGCGGCTACAAGAGCGCTGACAAAGAGGCAGCTCATGAAAATTCCGCCCCACGACTCCCCATCTCCGCTCCAATATGCGCGCGCACTCCCCCAGCTGCCAGCACTATTATTCTCCAATTTCAATTTGACACCCCAGCCTTTCATGCTAATTCTATTATTGTAAGAAGTTTATGTGATTTCATATCACTAGAAATCGGTAATGTATAATAACCCTTTGGGCAAGAAACCCAGTCCCCGCAGCAGCCACCGGAAAATAATTACTTTCATATCAAAACTCTGCAGGAGCCCAGCGGCCCGGCCCTGGCAGCCCCCGGCGCCGTCACCCCGCGCTGCGCGCCCGGCGTGTGCCAGTGCGAGGGGGTGCGCGCGGGTGTGTGCGCGAGGGTGGGGGCACCGGGCGGGAGGGGGCAGCGAGGGAGGGCAGGAGCGGGGGAGCTGCGGCTGCATAAATTTGTTCAATCAGAAAACACAAACACACCACACAAAAGGAGGCATTAAGCGCAGACCGTGGGGGAGGCGAGCCTCGCCCTGCCCCGCCCTGAGGGGGGAGCAGGGGCAATGAAGGGGGAGGGGCACTCCGAAATTGGAAAAAGATGGGTCGGAGAGCTTGCGTTTGACCAGCTTTATTTATAAAAAATGGTACATATATAAATATTCTTAGACATTTTTGCATTTTACAAGGCTGAGGATTCTTGTTGTGGGTTTGGGGGGACCATGGGTTAGGTTTTCTTTTTCCTCCCGAGAGAGGAGGAGGGTCTCACCCCAAGTCCTGCTGTTGCTGACTAGGTCCGAGCTGAAGGGGGGGGGGGAGCAGTGTTTCTAAGCCGATCACCTGATGGCGTGCGAGTCGGGACCGAGCCGGAACCAGCCCTTGTGGTGCGGCTGAGCTCCTCTAGGGCAGCCTCAGTCCATGTCCACCTCCTCACCATCCAGAGCGCTGGCTACTGCCGCGGCGCCTGGCTCAGGAGCCCCGGCCCCGCAAACGGCTGGTTCCCCCGCGGGGCTGGGCACCCGTGTTCCAGGCCGTCCAGGCCCGGGGGACCGCGGGAGCGGCGGCGGCGGGGCCACGGCACAGGCCCCAGTGTCCGGGCAGTCCCCGCCGCCGCCCTCAGCTGCGTCCCGGAAAGGGGCCGGGGTCGGGGCTCCTGGGGAGGCGACAACGTCGGCCGAGTCCGCAGCACCGCTCGGCCCAGGGAAGACCCCGAAGCTGGCCTGCGCAGGAGGCGCGGGCGGCGCGGTGGGCGCGGGCGGCGCATCCTTGGGCGCGGCCTCAGCACCCGCACCGCCTTTGAGCGCGGCCTGCGGCACCAGGAAGCCGACCGGCTGCGTGATGGGGTAGAGCAGGAAGTGGCCCTTGCCGATGAGGGTCCGCGGCGCACACGGCAGCCCGGGCGGGAAGTCCAGCCCTGCGGCGGCGGCGCTGGCCAGGGCGGCTTTCCGGCGCGGCGGCGAGTCGGACAGCAGACTCTCCACGCTGAACGGGCTGGCCTTGGGCAGGCCCGCAGCGCCGCGCTCCGCCGCCCCTGGCGCACACGGGCCCGGGTCCTTGTCCGCGGGCCGGCCCAGGCGCAGCTGCGGGCCGGCGCCGCTTCTTTGGCTCGGGTAAAAGGCAGGGTCGCAGGTGCCCGGAGCGGGCGGCTCGCCTGGAGGTGCGGGCGCGGAACCGGAGCCCGCATTGTGCCCGGGGCCCTTGGCCACGGCGTTGGGCGGCGGCTCGGGCGGCTCCGGGGACAGGCCGCCGCCCCCGCTGTCGCTGTCGGAGCTGGGGGCGCTGTGCATGGACAGGCCGCCTGGCGAGTGCAGGTGACGGCTCTGGCTCTTCAGCAGCTTCTTCTCGTGCTTGCGCTTCTTCTTCTCCATCTTCTCCAGCTCCTTCCTCGCGATTTCCTCGGGGTCCATGGGCTCGCCGCTGCATGTGGTGGGGTGGGAATTGTGGGCCGGCCGCCCAGGGCCCTTCTTCGTGTTTTCCTTCTTCCTCCACTTGGCCCGGCGGTTTTGGAACCAAACCTAGAGCAGCCAGGCGGGAAAAGGAAGGCGCGATGAGGCTTGCTGGGCTGTGGCTCCCCGCTCCCCTAGACAGGCCTCACAACCTCGGGGGGCCAGGCTCGGCCAGGGCCAGCACGGAGCTGGGTGTTGCACTCAGGATGCGGTGGTTCCGAAGGGCATCTTTCCACCTGGAGGAGGTAGAGCCGCCTCTGGCCAGCTCCCCCTCCAGCTTCTCACCTCAGGAACTGGAAGCTGCCCCTTCGTTGGGCAGGGCCTGCCTGGCCCCTGATGGGGGTCATTGGCTCCTGGTCTGGAAGGAGGGAGAGAGCAGGGACACGGCCTTGCCCCTCCTGACTCCTCCTAGCTCCTGTTCTAAGCAGCCTGCCTGGCCTGGCAGTGACCGTCTGACCGAGGACACCAGGCGGCTGGGCTCTGCCCTTCACACACCTGCCTTCAGCCCCCGGGAGATGGAGTGAAAGCCCAGATTTTAGCCTTTCCCATGAAGGGAAGCCTGGATGCTTCTTCCAGAAAGGCCTGGAGAGCTGAGCCGAATAAAAATCACACACACATTCACACACTTCTCTTTCTGGAGCCTTCCGGCCAGGCCTCTGAAACAGTGGCCTCTAACCAGCTGCTTGGCTTTGGGATGGGGGGGGGGGGGCGGCAGGGAAGCAGGAGCCAGCTGCCTCTCCCACTCTCTCTCCGGCCTTGTCCTTGGGGAGCTCACAGGATTGGGGGGACGCAGCCTGGACCGAGGCTCCAACACGGCACAGTCCCAGCCCAGGCTCAGGTGCACGTTCCACTTCTTTGTTGCTGCCCGTAGCCCCAGACCCCGCTGCAGCCGCTCATGCCAAGATGAGGGCATTAAGTTGCAACCTCTCACAACTGGAAGGGCCTTTCCTGAAACATACCTTTTTAAAATACTTTTTTTGAGGGTGCAAACTGGGCTGCATTGTCACCAGGAATTATTCATCGCCGCGTTAGGGAGAAATGTCACTCAAAACACTTAGAAGGAAGCCCACAGAGGCTTTCCAAACCAAAGGCCCCTGAGCAGAGGCCACGCACAGGCCAGGCACTTGCTAGGGTTTAGACAAAGCTGTCCCCGCTGGGCCGGCCTGGCCAGCTCTGCCTCCAGCCCGGTGCCCACTCTGCCCGCACTCACCACCAGAATGATTTCTGCACTTCAGGGAAACACCTAATTATGCTCAATTCATCTTGAATAAACAATCCACCAAAATGATGCTGTATTTTTAAATAGAATAGCACTGGCAGTCTCTGAATAAAAATCAAATTACGGGAAAAGAGAAAAGAAAAGGATATAACGAGTATTAAGATGCAGACACCTTTTTTCCTCAAACTGTTAATTGTTTAAGTTTTTGCACCCCTTCCTCCAGCTGCCTGCTCGGTCCAAGCAAAGAATAAATAAATACCTGTTTCAACCCGATTATTTTACGGGCTGGAGGCAAACAGACAGGGCCTCCGTGCAGGGCTGGCGACCAGAGCCCCAGGGTCTGCAGCGAGGGCCTGCTTCTCCCGTCTCCTCCAAACCCAGCGGCTGCTCTCCCTCCGAAGCTGAGACCTCACTGCTCGTGGTCGCCAGAACCCGCCACAGGACTCCCCGGCTGGGACGCAGCTGCTGTTCTGGCTACTTTGGAGCGGCCGCTGGCCCCTCCCGAGTTGCCTGGACTTTTAGGGTAATTCCACCTACATCCCCACGAAACCCTGAGCCCCAGAATACGCAATGCCACCACCACCTTCCCGCCGGCGAGCGCCAAGCGGGCTCGGAGCCGAGCGTAGCTCCACAGAACAAAGGCGGGCGCGGAGGCCGGGCCGGCGCCACTCCAGGAGGGACGCGGATTTACCTGAACGCGGGACTCGACCAGGTCGAGCCGCAGCGCCAGCGCCTCGCGCATGAACACATCGGGGTAGTGGCTCTCGTTGAACGCCTTCTCCAGCTCCTCCAGCTGCCAGCCGGTGAAGTTGGTGCGGGTGCGCCGCCGCTTGCAGCCCGGGCTCTCCTTGTCCGGGTCCCCCGAGTCTGCGGGCGAGCACAGGACGCTGCGCGCTCAGCCGCCGCCGAGACAGACCCACCGCCCGAGCCAGACCCACCGCCCGGCTGCTGCGCGCCGCCGCCTGGGCCAGGCGGCCAGTTCCGCACCCCCACACTCGCTCCTCCGCCTCAGAGGGTGCCCGGTCCCACCCGCCACCCCGCCCGCACCCGCACCCTGCGCCTACCCGACAGCTTGAAGGGCTGGCTGTCGCCGCCCACCCCGCAGGCCGCCGGCAGCAGCGGCGTGGGGTTGACCACCGAGGCGGCGGCGGCGCAGGAGCCGCTGAGCAGGCCGTCGATGGAGAAGGGCACGGCGGCGGCGGCGGCGGACTGCAGCTGGTGGCCCGCCAGCTCGTACACGTGGTGGTGGCCCAGCGGGTAGGGGAAGCCCACCACGCCGCCCAGCGAGCCCCCGAACTGGGCATGCGGGTGCTCCAGGAGGCGGCCGTCCATCATCTCGCGCGGGGGGCCGGCGGGGCCGGCGGCGGGGCGCGGGGGCGCGGGCCGGGGCCGGGCTGGGCCAGCGGCGGGAGGCGCGGGCGGCGGCGGCGCGGACAGGGACCCGGAGCCCTACACATGCTTCGCCCGCGCGCGGCGCTTTACTTTATCAACATCAAGCGCCCGGTAATTAGCCGCGGCCCGGGGAATTTGGGACCAATAAGAAGCGCTAATCGGCTCTGACGTCAGAGGCGTGCTGGGTGCAAGGAAACGTTTTCCATATCGATTGCTAATTATACCTGACATGCACCTCAATAAACAGTATCAGGAGCTGTCACAACAAGACCGGGGAGGGGGCCACGGGGCGGGCGGGAGGGGCGCGGCGCGGGGAGCAGCGGGCAGGGGCCCTGGTGAGCCCCCACTTCAGGGCCCGCCGGCCCAGCCCGCGCCGCCCGCCCCCGGCCCCCGCCCCCCGCACATCACTAATAGATTTCCCTTTAAAACACCCACCGCGTGTTGTGGGGATTTTTCACCAGAAATGCTGTACTCTCTGAACCTTTAAAGTGATGTTGCTCCAATTACAGAGAGACATTGAGCGGCAAATAGACTGATCCAATAATAGGAGATTCATCATCCGCTCTTTCCGAAACTGTCACATTGAATTTAAAACTACAAGGGCTTCTCCTCGCCGCTCCTCTCGGCTCCAGGCGCGGGGAGAGGGGGAGGAGCGAGGGAGGAGGAGGGAGGATTGACTCCAGAGAGGAGGCTCCTGCAGCAGCCCCGTCCACAGAGGCTCTCGGTGCCCGCTGGCTGACGGGCAGCGCCCGGTCTAAAACGCCGCGGAGAGGGGTGGCTGAGGAGGCCCCTGCCCCGCCTCACCCCGCGGGGTGAAATGAGGGCCCTGGGAAGAGGGATGGGCCAGGGGGAGGGAAAGGAACTTAGGGGTGGCAGCCAATCAGGCCCCCAACACACATGAAAAACAAACAAACCCAAACATCTCCATTTGACGCTAAAGAATAAGGCCGAGGTGCCCAACCCATTTGTTATAATTAAATTACGACCTCAGTTAGTGTCCCTCCCTTCTCCACTGTGAAATACGGACAGACTCACAGCTAAATCAGGAAGGACGCGTC